TTCACAGCAGGACATTCCATCCCTAACAGCCCAGAGCACTCCCAGAACCCTGCAGCAACAAATCCCATTGGCATTAAAGCAAAGGTGGTGTGCAGGCACCAAAGAAAAATTATTTTTGACTTATATTTGAATTTTTAAATTTTTTTTATTATTTTTTTGGCTTAGAGATGGGTTAATTGAGAGTTGTTTGAAAAAGTTTTGTTTTATTTTTAGTTTTATGAGAAGGGTGAGATAATACAGATGTTATCATTTGTGTCATTACAATTAGAAGTTGACTATTTTTTAATTACGAAACACTCTGTCTCTTGGTTTATTAGTTTTTTGTCACACTATGTTGTAGTTGTTTTAAAGTTAATAAATTAGAACTACTTGTTTAATTACGAAACACTCTAACTGTTTATTGGTTTGTTAGTTTTTTGTCATACTACATTGTAGTTGTTTTAAAGTTAATAAATTAAAACTTGTTCTTGTGGGTCTTACTACAATGTATTTTTTATAGTTTTATTTCTCTAAATAATTTTTTTCTAGCTCTATTTCTCTTTGAACAATATTTGTTCCATTTTACGGTATTTCTAAGTCAGCGTTCCCACTGCTTCCTGCTTCCACTTCTGAGTAAAAGGGATTTCATCTGTGTGAAAGCTGCAGAAAACACACGTTTATTGCAGTTATTGTGCAATCCTGAAACCAAACCCATTTCTGACCATCAACCCTTCCAAGGAGCACAACGTGAACCTCCCATCCAGCTTCAAAACTGCAGCTTCCCACAACAGGGAGTTCTCCCTGGAGAATTTCTAATTCCTCTCCGTCCCCAAACTCAGCTGGAATCAATACCTGCCAAGCAGGAGCAGCAGGAAAGGTGTTCCACCAGCCAATTAAACTGCTTTTTTATCCTTGTCCCTTATGGAGGCTGCCAGAAATCACTGCCACACCTGACAGCTCATGCTGTGTCTCTTTTTATTTTCTTTTTTTTTTTTTTNTTCCTGAAGATCTTTATTCTGAAGATCGTTATTTCTGAAGATCCTTTTTCCTGAAGATTTTTATTCTGAAGATCCTTATTCTGCAGATTCTTATTCCTGAAGATTCTTATTCCTGAAGATTCTTATTCCTGAAGATCTTTATTCTGAAGATCCTTTTTCTTCAAGATTCTTTTCCCTGAAGATTTTTATTCTGAAGATCCTTATTCTGAAAATCCTTATTCTTAAGATCCTCATCCCTGAAGATCTTTATTCTGAAGATCTTTATTTCTGAAGATCCTTTTTCCTGAAGATTTTTATTCTGAAGATCCTTATTCTGCAGATTCTTATTCATGAAGATCTTTATTCTGAAGGTCATTATTCTTGAAGATCCTTATTCTGAAAATCCTTTTTCCTGAAGATTCTTATTCCTGAAGATCTTTATTTCTGAAGATCCTTTTTCCTGAAGATCCTTTTCCCTGAAGATTTTTATTCTGAAGATCCTTATTCTGCAGATTCTTATTCCTGAAGATCTTTATTCTTAAGGTCATTATTCTTGAAGATCCTTATTCTGAAAATCCTTATTCCTGAAGATCTTTATTCTTGAAGATCCTTATTCTGAAGATCCTTATTCATTGCTGACACACATCAGAATTCAGCCCCAGTATTCATCAGAATACTGCTGATTATTTTATAAAGATTTGCTATCAGGCGCTATGTCTAGAGTTGCTTTTGTCAAATAAAGTTAATTCATAGCACATTTTCTCCAAGCACTAAACCAGCCACACTCACAGACAAATTTAAAATTAAAAAGGTGAAAGAATTTAGGGGGAAGGAAAAAAAAAAAAAAAGCAAACAACCCAACCAAAAAGCCACCAAAGCACCATCAAGACATCACATCCTGCTCTGCCTCCAGAGCTTCCATGGCATTGCAGAGTGGTGCTGCAGCTTCTGGGAAAGCCAAACCAACTCCCAGGGGACAGCTCTGGCCCTGGCAGGGCTCCTGGCATCCTCCAAGCTCCCTTCTTCACCTGACTGCAACCACTGCAACCACTGCAACCACTGCAACCACTGCACTGCCAACCCCAGCACAGCCAAGCCTTGCAAGGGAAAGTTGCTCCATTTCCATCTTCCACCACTCAGAAAAAAGGAGCAAATTCTGCAGAGGGTGAGTCCTGGGGAGAAATTACCTTGAAATCTGCTTTTTATCCAGGCCAGCATCCCAGCTGCTCCTGGGGAGGGTCAGGTCCTTCCTGTCCAAAATATTTCCCACCTGCAGGGTTGGGGATGCCCAGCACAGGGCAGAAAATTGGGGTTGCTTGTGGGAAATGGATTTGTAGAAAATTCTTCAAGTTTGATAGAAGTTTTTTACAAAGTGTATTTCTATTTCTATTTCCATTTCCATTTCTATTTCTATTTCTATTTTGAGATAAGAAATGCTGATTTAGAAATGCCATAGGATAGGCCAGACATTGCTGAGAGAGAAATGGAACCAGAAACAATTTTCAAAAGGTGGCCTTGCAAATAAAACTAAATATTTTTGAGGAATAGAACTATGAAAGATGCATTACCCCCTGAGGGGTAATTTTAGATTATTAAGGCATTTACAGCACGGTGTGCTTAAAGCTGACAGGCCAAGGAACGTTTATAATATATTGTAATTAGGAAATAGTTGGATTCTGATTGTGGTGGTGTGAATTATAACATCTGTATTGTCTCACCTTTCATATGGGACTGTAAACGGAATAAAAGTTTTTCAAACACCTCTCAGCTGCCCCATCTCTGGGTCAGAAAAGGGTTTAATCCAACAGTTGCTCTGCAGCAGTGCCTTTTTTATTTTTAATTTCAATGCGAGTAAAATGATGAACCTTAAAGCTCAAATAAAACACAAAAGCAGGCGTCCCTGAGTAACTAACTTGGAGATAACTCTGCTATTAATAGAAAGAGCAAAAACCCCCTCATGTCTATTTTTACAGAGATGTGTATTTTTATAGATACACCAAATTGTGAAGCTCATTTCACAGTAGGATCTGGCTGGTTTCTTGTATTAGCACTCCAGAAATTTAACATATTAAGCTCCAGAAACAGTTCTCTGGTGGATAAATACAAATCTCAGAGCTCAGAGGGGAAATTCTCTGGCCAGCAAAATCCTTCCTCTGCCAGGAATTTTGGCTCAAGCATGGCTGGCACCAGCCTGGCAAAATCAGCTCCAGGCAGAGCTTCCCACGTGGCAGGAAAAGCAGCTGCAAATCCCACAGCACTGCCTTGAGCACAGAAATTACACTTCTCATGCCACAGATGGATGCAAGGCACGCTGATATTTTCAAAGGCAGGCAAAAAAAAAAAGGGGAAAAAAAATAATAAAATCAATGACAGAGATAAAACTGATTTCTTATTCCTTCTCCTGAAGGCAAGAGGATTTTACATGATTCATCTTCATGCCCACTTTAGGAAATGCAAATAAAAGTATTGGTGAGACTATTTTTGAATTCTTCCTCAGGACAGGAGAACAGATTTCCCATGTTTTGGAGGAGCATGAAATTACAGATGCTGTTCCACAGGCATCAGTGCAGCAATCACCACAAAACAAAAATTAATATGCAGAGCAGGAGTAAGTGAGAAAGTTCTGCTCTTCAGTGAAGAGACCCCAAGAATAAATCAACAATTTAGGAGTGCAAGATCCCTGTGGCCTGAGAGTAGCAAATAACAAAGCAAGTCTGAGAAATTATTGAATTGTGGGGGAGCTGAGGAAGAGAAAAACCAGAGCAGAAATCATCCTTTTGTCACTTTAGAAAAACACTCTGCACATTTTCTGTTTGCTGCCTTTTTATTCCAGCAGCTTCCTAAAACCTAACCAAGCCTGACATTATTCTGTGGGAAAAACCTTTTAAAAGGCAATCAGCCCAACTTGAGTACTGCATGATATATTTACATTAAATTCTCTAAAAATATATATAAGATATATAATAGTTAGGTTCTAAATTACTGCTGGGTTATTTTGAACAAACTTGGGGTGCACCCAGCAGGTTTTGGAGAACCTTAGGATGGAATTGAACCCCATAATCAGAATTATTCTATAGAAAAAACCTTTTTGGTCATAAAACCCAAAAGAAAACCCACTAAAAGAAATAAAATCCAAAATAAAAGCCAGCAAAAATTGAGCACTGCCTGATAAATATGCATTAAATTCTTTATAAATTATCCAGACATGTACAAGTCAGATTCTACTGGGTTATTCTGCACATTCCTGGGGTGCACTCAGCAGGTTTTGGAGAGCCCCAGGATGGAACTGAGCCCTATAAATCAGAATTATTCTATAGAAAAAACCTTTCTGGTCATAAAACCCAAAAGAAAACCCAGAAAAAATTGGGCACCGCCCAATATATTCACATTAAATTCCATATAAATCATACAGGTACAGAAGTTAAATTCTACTGGGTTATTCTGCACACCCCTGGGGTGCACACAGCAGGTTTTGGAGAGCCCCAGGATGGAAAGGAACCGCAGAAATCAGAATTATAAAACAAACCTTTTGGTCATAAAACCCAAAAGAAAACCCAGGAAAACTGAGCACCGCCCAATATATTCACATTAAATTCCATATAAATCACACAGATACAGAAGTTAAATTCTACTGGGTTATTCTGCACACCCCTGGGGTGCACCCAGCAGGTTTTGGAGAGCCCCAGGATGGGAGTGAACCCCAGAAATATGCTGAGGATGAGGAGGATGAGGAGGAGGAGGATGAGGATGATGAGGAGGAGGAGGATGAGGATGAGAAGGATGAGGAGGAGGATGAGGAGGATGAGGATAAGGAGGATGAGGAGGAGGATGATGAGGATGATGATGAGGAGAAGGATGAGGATGAGAAGGATGAGGAGGAGGATGAGAAGGATGATGAGGAGGATGAAGATGAGAAGGATGATGAGGAGGATGAGGAGGAGGATGAGGATGATGAGGAGGAGGAGGATGAGGATGATGAGGAGGATGAGGATGAGGAGGAGGAGAAGGAGGATGAGGAGGAGGATGAGGATGAGGAGGACTCACGGCTGGGAGTGAGCGGTCTCGTAGCGCTCGAAGGAGTGGGACAGGTCGTGCTTGTTGTTCATGTAGCACTGGGTGCACAGGTCGTAGTCAAAGCACATTTTGCATTTCCACCTCATGCCTCGGATCCCGTGCTTCTTGCAGCAGTCGCAGATGATGTTGGGGTGACGGACACCTGGGGGGGCAAAAAGGAATGGGAGATGCACACAAATTCCAGGGAAAATCCAGTTTTTAGAAGCACCCTTCCAGCACTGCAGAATGCCAAACCCCTCCAGAAAAAGATCTTTGAGATCCACAGAAATTCCAAGGAAAATCAGGTTTTTAGAAGCACCCTTGCAGCATGCCAAACTTTCAAAAAAAGACCTTTGAGATCCACACAAATCCCAAGGAAAATCAAGTTTTTAGAAGCTTTCCTTTCAGCATTGCAGAATGCCAAACCTTTCTAGAAAATGATCTTTTGAGATCCACACAAATTCCAGGAGCATTTCACACACAAACACGATGCACCTAGAAATCCTGTGAGTCCTGTGTTTACCTCTTTCCAGCTTCTTACATTCCCATTTTTTTAAGCCAGTCATGTCTGAAATAAATACCTCTGTTCGTTACAGCACAAATACTGCTCAAGGAGGAGTGCCATGCTTAGTGCAGGACATTGAAACAGTTCTGCTTCTAAAGATAAATTATTTAAGGGCTAGAAAACCCTGGAACAACTGTTCTGAATGAACCCACTACTCTAATCTACACTTCACAGAATTAGGAAACACAAGTGTAAAGAGGATTTGAATGAAACTTGATGAATGCCTGTTTTAAAGGGGGGAAAATTGTGTATTTTAGGTGCTGCAATGTGAAGTGATATGTGTCACTTGAAATACCCATTTCCTGGCTGGAGGGCCTCTCTGCAGGAGGACAAAGTCAGAGAAGTGTTCAGCTCACAGGTGGAAAAAGCAGGGAAGCAGAGCCTTGGCAAAGAGGGAAACAGGAATGGCCAGGCCATGGCCAGGTGGTGCCAAAGCTGTGCCAGGACACGGGACAGGGGCAGGAGGTGGCTGTGCCCTTTCCCATGCCCTGCTCCAGCAGAGCCTTTGCACAGAGGAAAACCAGGTGGTGCCAAAGCTGTTCCAGGACATGGGACACTGGCAGAAGGTGCCCTTTCCCATGCCCTGCTCCAGAAGAGCCTTTGAAGAGAGGGAAACCAGGACCCCAAAGGCTGTGCCAGGATATGGGACAGGGGCAGGAGGTGGCTGTGCCCTTTCCCATGCCCTGCTCCAGCAGAGCCTTCACATAGAGGGACACAGGAATGCCCTGGCCATGGCCAGGTGGTGCCACAGCACATGGGACAGGGGCAGGAGGTGGCTGTGCCCTTGCCCAGACTCTGCCCAAGCAGAACCTTCACACAGAGGGACACAGGAATGGCCAGGCCATGGCCAGGTGGTGCCAAAGGCTGTGCCATCACATGGGACAGGGTCAGGAGGCGGCTGTGCCCTCTCCCAGCAGAACCTTCACACAGAGGGACACAGGAATGGCCAGGCCACAGCCAGGTGGTGCCAAAGCTGTGCCATCACACGGGACAGGGTCAGGAGGTGCCTGTGCCCTTTCCCAGCAGCACCTCCATGCAGAGCCAAGCAGGAATGCCCTGGCCATGGCCAGGTGGTGCCACAGCACATGGGACAGGGGCAGGAGCTGGCTGTGCCCTCTCCCAGCAGAACCTTCACACAGAGGGACACAGGAGTGCCCTGGCCATGGCCAGGTGGTGCCAAAGGCTGTGCCATCACATGGGACAGAGTCAGGAGGCGGCTGTGCCCTTTCCCAGACTCTGCCCAAGCAGAACCTTCACACAGAGGGACACAGGAATGGCCAGGCCATGGCCAGGTGGTGCCAAAGGCTGTGCCATCACATTGGACAGGGTCAGGAGGCGGCTGTGCCCTTTCCCAGACTCTGCCCAAGCAGAACCTTCACACAGAGGGACACAGGAGTGCCCTGGCCATGGCCAGGTGGTGCCAAAGGCTGTGCCATCACACGGGACAGGGGCAGGAGGTGGCTGTGCCCTCTCCCAGCAGAACCTTCACACAGAGGGACACAAGAATGGCCAGACCATGGCCAGGTGGTGCCAAAGGCTGTGCCATCACACGGGACAGGGTCAGGAGGTGCCTGTGCCCTTGCCCAGCAGAACCTCCACGCAGAGCCAAGCAGGAACGCCCTGGCCAGCAGCAGCGAGGCTCAGCAGGGCTGCCCGAGGCTGGCGGGGCGCAGGAGGCGCGGTGCCAGGGGCCGTGCCCGCTGTGCTCACCGATCTGGGCGTTGTCGTAGAGCAGCAGGTCGTAGGCGCCCTGGAAGCCCGTGCGGTAGTTGGTCCTGTTGCCCTGATCCCACTGCACCACCACGGTCTTGTCGGGCGTGGTGGGGCTGCCCGCGCGGCCGATCTCCACCACGGTGCCCACGTTGCCCTCGCCGCTGTCCTGGCTGCCCCACTTCCAGTCCACGCCACGGACTACCCTCATCCCCACCTGCATGCTGGCATGGGGGTCGGGCTCCATGGATGCGGCAGAGCAAACCCTAAATCTGCTCCTCCTCTGCGGTCTCGGAGACGGGCGGGATCAGCAGCAGCATGGTCAGCACACCTGGAAATGCAACAGGGATTTTGGTGGTGCCACTGCACACTTCACATTTCCCCCCTACCACCACCCCCAAAATCATCTGCAGAAAAAGCCTGCCCTGCTGAGGAGATAAATCTGTTTTATTCCCAACTGGGATTCTCACAGCTTAAGCACTGATGGGGGTGATACAAAAAGTAACCAGGCTTCCAAGGCTCATCAGCATCTGCAATAATATCCAAAAACTCCTTCCAGAGAGTTGTGCATGAGGGAAGAGAACTGGGCTAAGAGTCCACAAAATTCCAGTACCGGCCCTTGATGCCAAACTCAAGAATAAGCCCAGAGACACAACCGCAGCAGAAACGAGCAAGCAAAGTAAAGAAAATTGAAAGAAATTACCAAGAAAACACCAGCAGCAGGATTTTAGCAATAAAAGTGAATCTCAGCCCATTTTTCAGGAAGTCTCACATGCATCTCATCTTAGTACAGCACTGCTGAGTTTCACTTGCCCTTCAAGTCAGTTTTGGTTTTCATTTGAGGATACAGGAAGTTTTAAAACCCGAAAGAAGCGTTTGCCTGTTTTCCCCAAGTAAGGGCAGTTTTTCAAACATGGCCAATGTCAGATTGATTTCAGTCTTTTCCTGTTATTTTTCCACGAGCTACAGCAGGAACGGGGCAGGGCTGGTGCTCCAGCTGCAATAAACCCAGCAGATTTAGTGCTGGGATCAGTGAGACAGGGACAGCCTTCCCAGCTGTTGCCATGACAATGGGTAAATGAGGTGAACACCACACAGATGCAGCACATCCTCAGCTCTGAATGAAATCAGATTCTTAAATCAAACAGCTTCTCAAATCCTTGTTTCTCTCTTTACCAGCACAAGACAGACAAGAGGAATGTGGCTTTCAATATGCAGAGCCTGGAAAAAAATCTCATGTAGCATCCTTGGGTCTCCCTCTTCCTCCTGAGCTACCCATAACACCCAGATTTTTTTAAATATTCAAAAAAAAAGGCCCAAGAGGACGCCAAGGGATGGAAAATGCAGCTGGCACAAACAAAGTGCCATGACACAGAGGCTGGGGAGCTGCTCCAGCTGAGGGGACGTGCTCAGCCCCAGCAGCAGGAGCAGCTCTGGGCCCTGGGATGTGCTGTGAACGCTCCCACCCGCCAAGAAAAACACCTGCAACCACCAAACCCTAAAAATAAACCCATCCTCCAGGCAAACATCCCCTTTTGGAGTGGGGAGGAGTGGGGTGATGCAAAACCACATTGCCAGCGTGCAGCGTGGGCCTGATCTCTGCTCAGCTTCAGCCTCTCCCCCTCCCCACTGCTGTGCCACCCAAACTCCTGGCACGGCAGAACAGATCCAAGCCAGCTGTCCTTGTGCACTCCACATCATCCAACCCTCTCATCAGCACTAAAACTTGCCCTGGGGGACTCTTTTGTTTGCTTTTGTGGGGGTGATCAGTGTTTACTGTCTTTATGAGAGCAGGAATTATCAAAGAATATCCTTTTTTGTGATATTTTCCCTCTTCCTCCAGATCACTGATGAATAAAATGGAATATTTATTGCTTCAACTAAGAGGCAGGACTGCTTCTTTTTTTTTTNTTTTTTTTTTTTTTTTTTTTTTTTTTTTTTAAAAGGCTGCTTTTTTTTTTTTTTTTTTTTTTTTTTTTTTGGAACATCCATTTTTTTTTTTTTTTTTTTTTTTTAATTATTGTGACAGGGCTTTTCCCTAAAAAGAACCACCCCACCACCCTTTCCTGTTTCATCCAAGGGAACTGGGGGTGGGTACCAACAGTGGGAAAAGGAATTTCATGCTTAGGGAAGGAAGCAACAAATTCCACAGGGTACTGGATGGGGATAAAGAGTCACTTCCCAGCCTTCCTCTCCCCAGGAATGAATGAACCACCCCAGGCTTAGAACTCTCAGTATTCCAAAGAAAGCAATGCCAGTTCCTGCAATTATTGATGAAAGAACATTCCAGGCTGTCCCACAAACCCATAAAACCCTCCAGCATAAAGGAGGATAATCTCTCCCTGTGGGAAATGGATTTGTAGGGAATTCTCCAGGCCTGGCAGAAGACTCACACAGTGTGTGCAAACCTTGAGATAAGAAATGCTGATTTAGAAATGAATGGAATAGGACAGACATTGCTGAGAGAGAAATGGAGCCAGAAACAAGTTTCAAATAATATCCTTGCAAATAAGACTGGGAACTTTGGAGAAATGGAACTGTGAAAGATGCACTGGAGTAGGAGCCACGAGGGGTAATTTTAGATTATTAACTTTAAGGCATTTACAGCGTGGTGTGGCTAAAGCTGACAGGCCAATAAATACTTATAGTGTATTGTAATCAGGAAATAGTTGGTTTCTGATTGTTGTGAATTATAACATCTGTATTGTCTCACCCTTCACATGAGACTGAAAACAGAATAAAAGTTTTTCAAACACCTCTCAGTTGCCCCATCTCTGGGTCAGAAAAGGGTTTAATCCAACACCTCTCCATGCACTGCCACATCCTGACAAGTGCCCAGCAGAGAATCCCGACAGCAGAGTGTCCCACAAAGCCAAACCCACATTCCCCTGTGCACCTTCCCAAAAATTTTGGAGGCTGCTGGAGCTCAGCGTGATGCTGAATGCCTTTAAAGGAGCTGCAAAAAATCACCAGCAGCCCCTGGCTGGCTGATCTGAGGATGCCTTCCTAAGGTGAATATTCCATTTTCCACACAAGAAGGCACCCGGTGCATCCTGCACTCCCATCTCCTCCTCAGGGGAGGTGCAGAACAGGAGGAAAGGTTTATTCAAAACCTTTAGGAGATGAATTATGGAGCTCTTGTGGGCTGAGCCTTGCCAGAGCAGCATTATTGACCTCCTAAGTGGAAATGTTTCACTCACTGAAGCAAATACTCCTCCCTCGATGCTGCCTGGGCTGTAATTATTCCAGGTAGAGCTGCCAGAAATGAATCAGAGAGAAAACATCCGTTTCCCATGGGAATTTCAAGTAACCATGAAGGAATAATCCATTATAACAAGAGCAAATTTCTGAATCCTCCTCTAACATTCTGACCTTGCCTGCTCTGACACAGCCTAGATGTAATCTCTCACTTTTAGGAAATCCCACTAAAACTTAATTGGAAAACAGGGAAATACTCCAGCTTTCAGCTCACAAAATTTTATCTCCAATAACTGTGGCAACTTTCTGCCAATATCCAAATATTTCAGCCCAATTTCCACCTCGTGGGAGGCAAAGGTTGCTGCTGGTGTGGCCCCACAGCAAACAGAACCCAGTGCTGTAAGCAGCTGACAAAAATCAGTGCCTGGAACCTGGTGATCACATTATTTGAACAGCATGGTAAACAGAGGATGTGTTTAAAAGGAAAAAAAAAAAAAAAGCTTTTTTTTTTTCTTCCCACACATATTTTGCAGTTTGAATTGCCTTGAGGTGAACTGCTCCATTTTACAGGGATTTGCCCATGCAGGAGATACTTCCTCAGGCAAGTGCAAATCACACACTTCTCCAAAATTCCCAACTTCCCCAAGTGATCACTCCCCAGATCAGTCAGCATTACATTTTGAAAATAACACCACTGTCCATTTCTTACCCTTTTCATTCTCTTTGACTCTTCCAGTGCCATTAAATAAAGTCTCATCAAGCCATTAGAAATGTAGATGTATCAGCTACCACCACTGTAAAGCTTCAAGACTTAATTTTGCATATCCTCTCACATCAAGAATATCAAAATAATTTTGGTGCACTGGCTGAATTAAGCCAGCTCATTGAATTAAAACCTGCTGGGTTTTAGCACTTTCTCCATGACTCTTGTGAGCATTTCCCTACAGAAATAAGGCTCAGCGGGGTTTTTCCCCTTTCCTGACACAAATTTCACAGCTCAATGTGCCATCAAATATTGCTCTTTACCTGCAAGTCAGAAATAAATACTTTTCTGCTCTTTAATAACACAACCAGGATCAAATACCTCTGCTCAAGGCTTTCAGCTGCTAAGTTTATTACTAAGGTTGGCATTCATGCCAAAATCCTGAAATTCACACAAATGTAGTTACTGTTAGATGAAAACAGAGCAGAAAACCAGCAGAACACACAGAAAATGAATATTTTGGACCCACCATCACTTGGACAGTGCCGTGCAGCAGAGAAGCTGTGGCTGCCCCATCCCTGGAAATGTCCAAGGCCAGGCTGGACAGGGCTTGGAGGAACTGCAAAGAGGATGGGTTTTGATGCTCCTTCCAACCCAAAGCAGTCTGGAATTCCATGAGATTTCCCCTGCAAAGCCCCAGTGACACTTTTCTTCCTTTCTCCTGGTGCAGACAGGAATTTTGTTTCATCTCAAATTTTGCAAAATGGCATCACCAGCACAGGGGAGGGAGGCGGAGAGGAGCAGATGCTGCTTTTGTGGCTTAAATACCAACAGCAGAGAAATGAAGGCATTTTACTGATAAATCAGCTTGAGATTAAATAAATAAAAAAAAAAAAAATCAGATGTGGGGCATCTGCCACTGGTGAAATCAATCAATCACAAAAAAAAAAATAAAAAAGCCTGCGGGGAGGTGAAATAATTTCCAGGGCCCAAACCTCACGTGCTCCCAGAATATATTTAACTGCATTACATAAACAGAATAAAGCAGGTGATTAATAGGCCTTTGCTCAGGGATTAATATCTTGTCATTCCAGCATGAGAGCAGGCACAGGCACATCCTGAAACACAAGGGAGGAAATGCTAAAAATAACCAGCCAGGCTCAGTCCCCACCGAGCATTTTATCTCTGCAATCAACACTTGGCCTTTACAAATGCCAGCCCATTGATCTGTTTTGCCCAAACTGAATTCTCCATTTCATTTTACACTGGTTGTGTGCTGATACTGAGTTGTTTCTTTCCCTTTCAGCAATATTTGAGTGGTTTTCATTCTGTTTTTCCATCTATTCCTTCACCCTGTTAAAGGATGTAGGTGTAAAGGAAAATTTATGTGCAAACTCTTCATTCCAGCATTCTGATTTCCTAAAAAATGG